CCATAGGTGTGGCTGAGAGAATCAAGGGGTGCATGAAAAGTTTTTCATGGGCAAGGATCGGGAGGAACATAGGGATCATTTATTGAGTTGGGAGGTTTGTTTCCGGTCCAGGAACTCAGGTGGCTTGGGTTCTGGGAATCTTGAACTGTATTTCAAAAAAAAAAAAAGAGGGAATCTTAGAGCAAAAGAATTTAGCCAAATTTTTTGGCTGAATGGCTTTGACAATTCTCGTGGGAACCTAACTCTGTTGCATAAGGTGAATAACAGTATTCATGGAAATTGCAGGGACAACTGGATTATAGTAGTTGGACGGTCCATCTCTCCCAAAAGTTCATGGAAAGCCATCTCCCAAGTCCTTCTACTGTATTAACTCTTACCCTGTTTGATAATGGGAGATGGATCTAGAAAGTTCTTTGGGTGTACCTGGATCGGAAACCATTCCTTGGCAAGTCAATTTCCATGCTTATATAATTTATCCTCTCACCATCATGCTCTTATTTCCTGTTTTGCTAATTTTACTGAAGGGAATTTAGCTTGCGACTTTCATTTTAGCCACCACCTTTTTAATAGGGAGACAGACACTTCTTACCATGTTACAGTGTTGGAGTCTGTCCATCTCAATCCTCATTTTGATGCTCGACAGGTCCTGAGTCACTTTTGCGGCAATCTTCAAACTTGGGTGCTGATGCTAGAACAGATGGGTACTTTGAGAGGGACACTGGAGATGCAATTGAGCCACATGAATGGAAATGTGTCCGTACAATCGATGGTAAAATTCCATTGTCCATATTGCACTTCTCTAGGTATTATTTACAAATAGTGAAAAAACTATTGAAGTACTAAAAGAGAAAATTAAAGTTTCCAATTCCAAATAACCTGCTTAAATTAGCTAAATAAATTAGAGAGACTAAATAATAATAATTTAAAAAGTTCTTTAATACTAAATTTATTGTAAACTAGGATCATCTTATCTGCATCAGTCCATTTTAATAGTAAACAAAATTTGAAGCCAAAAGCACAGCTTGTTGAAAAAGACTGGATCTATGTTCATTTCTTGTTGATTTTTGGGGCTAATTCTTAACAGGAAAAATAAAGAAAGAAATAGAAGAGGATTTATAGATTAATATTTGTATGTTTTCTTGTATGTGTCGAAATAGAAATTAGCTGATAAAATATCAAGAGGAACATGTCACTGAGTGTATGAACTGACATTGGAACTTGAAGAGCAATAAATTCTTAGTGTAAATTTTCTGATAGGTTATATTGTTTAAAATGATCTCCTTCCCTGCTAATAAAACCCTAATCAAGTGCAAAAAGATCTTATTTCTCCTTGCTCATTCTTGTTACTTTGGTTTTAGGTATCAGAATCTTTGAAGATGTGGCGAACTCTAAGGTATCTTTCATCCTATGTTTCTGTTTTTCTTTGATGGACAAATACTTTATGACATTCAAGGCATTTTGCTGCTCTTACTTTTTAATATGGCTTCTTTAGTTGAAAAGAAAAAGTCCAACTGAATTCTATATTAAAAGTTTGAGAATTGCATCCTTCTGTCACTGTCATTTAACTGGGCACAGGTGGAGAGAGAGAGAGAGAGAGACAGAGAGAGAGACAGAGCTGCTTGGGAATTAAGAGAGAGGATCTTAACAACAAACTTTTTTCCTTTTAGTAATGAATTAAGAAGAAAACCAAAATTATAAGAATACCTCACATAATAGAAAACCACTCTACTTCTCTCCTGCATTCACTCCATGGAGCTCCCGCTGCAGAAGCAAAAGAATGAGTAGGAGCGGGGCTGCTTGGGAAGCAGAAAATTGCGGACAACAAGAACAGTTTTTTTTTTTGAGATAAAAGAGAGAAATCATATTAAAATGGACGCCAAGGGGGCGTAACCCATGTACAAGAAGGAAGGATTTACAGCTCAGTGAGAATATCTACAATCGAACCTAAGTCCTCAAAAGAGTCAATGTTGTGGCCAAGTAAAATAGTACCCAAAAAAAATGTAGCCACCTATCTTTGATACAGGCAAAATTTGTGTCTTTACCCTAAAAAATCCTACAATTTCTTTCCATAAAATAGTTAATGGGATTACTCTATGCCATCTATTCCTCGTTTTAGGCCCTTCCCAAGCAAGCAATTCGTCCTTAACAGATCCGGAAATAATCAGGAGACATCCAACAGCTTGTGGATCATAGATCATAACTCATAGGCAACTGGGCACCATAAGAGAAGGTGGTTGCAAGACTCATAGTTCTTCCTACAGCCCTTCCCAAGCAAGCAATTCATCCTTAACAGATCCAGAAATAACTCAGGAGATGCCAAACAGCTTGTAGATCATAGACCATAACTCATAGGCAACCAGGCACCGTAAGAGAAGGTGGTTGCAAGGCTCATAGTTCTTCCTGCACATAGTGCACCAGTTGACCAAGACAAAACCTCTTTTCATGAGGTTATATAAAATAAGAATACATTCCAAAACAGCTTCCCAAGCAAAAATAGAAATTCTGGGAGGAACATTGGAATTTCAGATAATTTTATGTGGGAAAACAACAGCAGATTCTGTTCTATCATTCAGGTACCTATAAAGGGATTTTACTGTAAAGGAGCCTTTTTTTGCACAATTTCCAGTTTAATCTATCGGGCTCAGTGCCAGCTTTCACATCAGCCAACAGCCGGAGAAGATTTTCATATTCCATCACCTCCCAATCTTGCAAATTTCTGGTGACGGACACATCCCAAACCAGAGGGGTGCTAGCCCCATAAGCATTTTCCAGAAGCATAGTTTTGTCTTTGGCAATAGCATAAATGTGAGGAAACTGATTCTGAAGACTCATCTGACCACACCAAATGTCCTGCCAAAACCGGATCTTGTCCCCTTTCCCAACCACCCAATTTGAGTTATTCAATACAAGTTCTTTGGAATTCAGAATACTCTTCCAGAGACTGAAACCAAAAGGGCTCCTGTTCACCCGATTAAGATCAGTAATATTATTGCCAAACCATTTACGCACGATAACTTTCTTCCACAGGCATTATTGTTGTTCCGGAACCTCCGCATGCAAGGCTTTGTTAAGACACATGGTGGATCTTATGCCTAAACCGCCAGACAGCAAGAACAGTGAAGGGCATTTCCCACCATGAGTTACAAGGAACACACTGCCCACTTCAAATGCTACAACAAGGTTGAATTTCCTCCATGGGATGGTATTATTAGAAAAAGAAGTATTATGAGTAAGAAAGATATGTTACAATAACAGAGGATATATATCCTCCTTAAGCCTTCACAAAGACGAACACCAGACAAAAATGAGTTACAAAATTATGATACATCTCAAACCCTGAAGATCAAAATATTATCATCTCTCAATTCCAGTGAAGGATGGGAATAGAGATATTTGGAAATTTCCCATGTGTCTTTGCTCATAGGGAGGCTAAAAAAGTCACTTTATCTCATAAGAATTTTATTCAAGAGGGATCTATCCTCAAAAATTCTATGATTGTTTCCAATCATATATTCCACAAACCTTCAAACAAAGTGCCTTGCCACAGAGATTTAGCTTTTTTCTCAACTCTAATCCATAAATATTAGAATTCATAAAACACTCCAAAAAGGGATGTGTCCATCCAGTTTGAACTAAATATATTAAATAGCTGCATCCACAATTTCCAGACCACTTTACACCGAAGGAATAAGTGTATGTGTTTCTCCTCCTCTTCGGCAAGTACCACAAGTATCATTCAAGGGGTTGGTACATTGAATAGTATTGTTAAGACTGGAAAATTCAAGGAGCTTGCTCCTTATGATCATGACTGGTACTGTAAGAACTGCTTCCATGGCAAGGAAAATCTACTTGAGGCATCTCGGCTTTGGTGCCTTCCAGAGGATATATGGAGGAAGCCAGAGGAATGGTAGTCAACAAACCGTAGTGGTCTATTGCTTATCATATACTTAGGCACTTGCAAATTATAAACATCATTTA